TGCTCCTGGGTTTGACCACCCTCTCAGTAAGGAAATGCTTCCTGGTGTCCAGTCTGAACCTCCTATGGCACAGCTTTGAACCATTTCCATGGGTCCTATCACGGGATAGCAGGGAGAAGAAATCAGCACCTCCCTCCCCAAGTCCCCATTCCCCTCCTCAGGAAGCTGTAGAGAGCAATGAGGTCACCCCTCATCCTCCTTTTCTCCAAACCAAACAAACCCAAATTCCTCAGCAGCACCTCATAGGATGCTTAGTCCTTTTACACCTTTACCTCTCCTAAGCTGCCTGTGCAATTTGCAGACAGGGGCAGAGAGGGCTCTGGGAAGAGCTGGCAGCCAGCACAAGCAGAGCCAGCCAGGGCCCCGAGGGCATGTGCAGAACAGATCCTGCCAGGTTTGGGGTTGCTATAAACCAGCAAATCTCCTTGCAGCAGGGTAGTCCCACCAGCTCTCAGGTGGAGGTATTCAGGAGTCCTTTGGTATTAAGGATTCTCTTCCACATTTGCTTCCATTCCAAAGTTAAATTTGAGGCTGAAGGAAAACTGGAATTGGGAAGCTGAGGAGAGAGGGAAATAATTGCTGGAGGGTAGGTGATGAAATGAGATGAAAGAAAGAAAAGATGAACCACTGACATTGAAAAAAGCCTGACGCAGGTTGAGTTTCACAACATAACTGGAACGATCTAACAGCTCATTGCAGCCAAATGACAGGGTCCTGCTTTTCCTCTCCCATTAGTTGGTTTTTGTGGTTTGGTTTTTTGTTGGGGTTTTTTGTTGGGGTTTTTGGTTTGTTTGGGTTTTTTGTTTGTTTGGGTTTTTAGTTGAGAAGTCCTCAATTCTGAGTTAGTGTTCTTTTCTCCTGCTGAGGGAGAGACTAAATCAGTGCAGGGGTCCTTAAATCAACATGCAGCCAGAAGCAGGGACTATCTTGTATTCCTATGGCAACAGTGAATTGGTAGATCAGCTTCAGTGTCTTGTGAAACATAATCACAAGACTGAAGGTAAGCATGGGGAAAATAAGAAAATATATACAAATTAAAATTTAATGAAGACATATTTAGTATGTGTATGTACCAATATTTTTTTATTGATGGAGAATTGGGGACCCAGAAACAAAATCTAATAATCATGGACTTCAAAGAATAGTTTGGTATTCATAGCAGGAAGGAAGGTAGAAACAAGGGAGGAGAAGGGGCAGCGCATCAGTCAGAATCTTCTTTTATATGCATTAATGCATTTTATAGATCTAAAGATGAGCAAAAGGACCGTTATGCCTATTACGCTGTCATGGGCAGGGATTCAGGAAAGTTACTCTAAAAATTCCATCTTAGAACTCTGAAGCATCTTTATAATAATGCTTGTAAAGTAAAATTAAAAAAAAATAAAAAAGAGGAACTGAATCATCTTTAATTCCTGTTTTAAACAGAGACCTATTATTGGCCTGTGCTAGACACAGAGAGTCTTGTTCCAATGTTAGTCATAATACTGTTAAAAGTGATCTAAATGGCTATTGAAGCCACTCCTGGAACTTCTTGCTATAATTAATGTTAGACAAAGAGAATATTTATTTTACTTTAAAATGGTGCTTTTGAGACTCATTAAAACCTAGTGCCATATGTTTATAAATGTAACATGTACCCAATGAACACAGGAAATACAGTGGTGCAGTCAGTTCTTATCCTGTAACCGTCTCTGGCTGCGGTAGGAAGAGTACGCCTGCTACTGCAGAATAAAATCCTGCAAAGCGTTATAGCTCTTAGACACCTTTACTTGTAGGACGTCACCTTGTCACTTGTAGGTGTAGGTTTACACTGAGTGTCTGGACATGAGTGTAATTTCTGAGGCAGCCATCAGTTGAGTGCAAGTCTATGGCCAGTACACGCGGTTTACTGTTTGGGATCAGTCGTGACAATCCACAGGCAGCATCTGTGAGCATGGGAACTGCCTTTTACCTCAGCCCACGTGTTAGGCCAGAGAGTGCTGCCATGCTGCTGCAGTCCAGAGCCACGCCAGCTCACTCCTCAGGTAATGAGAGCAGCAAATTTACCTGAGGCTGAGTTTTCTTTCTTCATTCTCCAGTCAGCTGACAGCACACCCGAACAGGCCAGAGCAGCCATTACTTAATGGAAGAGATTTACCGAAAAGTATATGTGTATTGGGTTTGTGTGGTGAGGTTTTGGTAGTGGTGGG